AAAGGACGCCGCATCGCGCCAACTGGGTGGGGGGTACCGCTTGAGGAAAATTGTGACCTGGAAACAAACTCTTCGCTGTTGGAGTCTCGACTCAACTCAGCTTGGTTCGCATTGATCGTTTGTTGGGGAACGGTTTTATATTAATCACTCAACCTTAAAGCGAAAGCTATCAACAAGGAGCAAGTCGCCCCAAAAGCCTTTTACTACGTAAACCATGGTTGTGAGCGTTTTGTGTAAAGGAGGCACCGTGTTGTTTTTGGCAGACAAGAACAATATGAAGGCAGGTCTGTGATTGTTCCATGTCAAACTCTAGGCTCAACTGCCATATGATCCTGATCAACGAGGGCCGGGGCTGGCTGCTTCAACAACATTCTGGAATTCTCGAAGTATCCAGGGGGCCGACACCAACGTTCTGGCAAATGGCTGTAGATCTGCTGTGCCTTCAAAACAGACCCCTTGTTGTGGGTCAAAGACCAACCTAGTTGACCTAGAAACAGAGGCCTATTTGCGCCACGTAAGGACCCCAGCTTTGTGACCTGCGAGTGAAACAGCATGGCTTTTGCTGACCCCCTGTTTGGCTCTTTGAAGCCACCAATTCGAGGTCCACTCTTTTGGACAAACCCGTAGCATTTGGCACAGAATAGTTCGACGGTTGATCACCGTGGTTCTCCTCGTAGATCAAGCTACGAATGGCTGGTGGATCGCAAAATGATACTCTGCACGTTCGCTGAGGTGGTTTCAACAAAACTGGCTTATGCAATGTTAAATTCCTGGCTCAACCCGTGATAGCGAGGGCTTGATTGTCAAATCCCGTGTTTGCGCTAGCTTAAACAGTGTATCCCATAAACCCTCTAGAGGGCAACGTCATCCAATGCGCTGGGGATTCGGGAAGAATTTTAGGAAGGAACTTCGCCTTTCACAGTACTCCTCAAAAGGATACCGCCCAAAAAAAGGAAACCACGCTTTAGGAGAAAGCGGCCCAACATGTTGTTGTGTCATCAGGCTCACACAAACCATGAAGGTTGGACCCTCTTTACACGGCCCCCCCTGGCACAGTGGAACCAGTCAGCTGGGCCCTCTTTAGAGAAAATCCTGGTGGTCTGGGAGGGGCAGTACTTTAGCATGGCCAATTCCACTCCCCAGTACTTACTTTAGTATTGCCAATTCTGCTTTAGTATTGCCAAGGCTGACTCTCAGACTCCCAGTGCTTACACTCTTGTATTGCCAATTCTGCTCTAGCATTGCCAAGGTTGACTCTCAGATTTCCAGTACTTGCTTTAGCATTGCCAATTCTACTTTAGTATTGCCAAGGTTGAACTCTCAGATTCCCAGTGCTTGCTTTATCATTGCCAATTCTACTTTAGTATTGCCAAGGCCCGTTTTTTCAGCACCCCCAAACAAAAGGACACTAAAGAGGGCCCCAAAACAGTCACATTAAAGAGGTTCAGGGCCTCTTGTGATCAACCCCCTTTGCGCGAATGTTTACCCTTGCTTTTTTGGAAAGAACTTATCTTAAAATTGATGGTTTGGGGACCACTTCAATAAGGAATTCCTGACGTTTGCCCGGGTTTGTTTGCCCGTGTTTTGTCCGACTTTTTGTTTGCCAGTCGTTGTTTTGCCAGGATTTGTTCCGGCATTCTTTCCGGCAAAAAATAATTGCCACAATTGCGGACCCCCAACTCAGTCACAAGATCGCAAGTGGCACCACTGCCCAAAACTAGGTAAAATATGCTTGGTCAGAAAGTGGTCCAACATGTTTTGTGTTTTGCAAGAGTAGAACTGTGCACATATCTGTAAGCCTGATGAACAAAGCGACATGCCCTGTAAACCCTAATTCACATTCACCCAAATGCCCCAACTCCTCACGAGCAAGTGATGAGGGTCGGCTGCACACGGGTGCAGTCCCTATAGCTGAAGCTAGCAGCCAAATTTCCTAGCGGCGACATGCTACGCCAGGAAGCGTAGCCGGATTTACCAGGCTGGCGCCTGACTGCCGCCGACCCCCCAGCACTATTGCTCTTGGGCTCAACTGGCAAAGCAGGCTTGGTTCGGGGCTGGGGTGTCCGGGAGGGCCGGCGTGGTCTAATTTTGTGAGGTGCAAAACGTCGACTTTTTGCACCTCGCAAATTTATTGGAAAATCAAGCTTGGCTCGCGCGGTCAGCGTGGTCGGGGCGGTTGGGATGGTCCGGATGGCAGGGGGAAAGTCGTCAGGGAGGAGTCGAGCCGTGAATCCCCCCAGACACACCCCCAGGGCCCCAGCTTCGGCCAAGAGGCTAGACCTGGGGTTGGCCCCACAACCTGTGCCAGATGGGGCTGGCCTTGGGGCAGGTTTCGGAATCCACATTTTGGGGAAAGGAGGTGTTTCCTGTAATAGCAGGAGGGGTCGACGGATTTTGTAGTTTCCCCTGTTGGTTTAAAAAAATCCATGACTACTGGATTTTGTATTTTTTAAGCAAATGGATGGCCCAACACAGGTACCCCCCCCCCAAAAAAAAAAATAGAATACTAACGGGCAACCCCCCCCCCCCCCACACCACGCGGCAACGTGAGGCTCCTGCCTGGCCTTCGCGCCGGCGCATCGCAGCGGCTCCTACGGCAGAGTCACCAAACGGGATTGGCAGGTACCCAGCCCCGTGTCTTGGCTCAACCAGCGGGGTGATTCTTGAGTCCCCTCCCAACAAAAAAACACCAACCCTGGGGTATGTGGCTCGGTGGTTGGAGAGTGAGTCAAGTTCCATGTTCCCAGCCGGCTCCGACACTTGATTTTATGTTTTTTCTCCATTCCTGTCCTCAAAAGAAAAGCAAATCAGTCTTGGGGTAGCTCAAAAAACTACCGGCTAAAATCTGGGGTATGTCAAATAAGGTCGGTGTCTGACCAGAAAAACGTTGTTTTAGCCCAGTCTCGTGGTATGTCCAGAATAGCTAACGACTGCTGGGTTGGATCTAACTTTAACTTTTTGGTCGAAATGAAGGGTTTTCAACACGAAACCCAGAAACCAGTTACAAACTTTTTGCAGAGGGGTCAACGTATGTTTTTGCTTGTATGATTCCAACAAGTGGGAGGTTTGGGTGTGTCTTGCAATCAATAGCAAGGAAAACGCCCGTTTTTCCACGCAGCGCGTTGTCAAAATGGGGCCCCTTGTTGAACCCTGCCGCCTTGAGCCGCCTAAAGCGATCCCAAATTCTTGGAGGTGGTTTAGGTGATTAGTGGCTCGAGATGACAGGGGGGGTGCTGAATGATTCTCAGTACTTTTGGGACCCGGTGGCTGAGTCTCTGCGCAAGCAAGAGAAGGGAGAGAGAGAGAGAGAGAGAGAGAGAAAAAGAGATAAGGAAAGAGAGAGAGAGAGAGGGAAAGTGAGAGAGAGAGAGGAACAAAAAACAGAAAGAGGCGAAAAGAGAAAGCGAGAGAGAGAGAGACAAAGAGAGAAACAGAGAGAGAGAGAGAGGGTGAGTGAAAGGGCAAGAGAGACAGAGAGGGAAAGGCAGACAAAAAAAAGAGAGAGAGACAAGGAAAGAAGGAAGGAAGGAAGGAAGAGAGAGAAAGACAAATGAGAGAAACTGGACCAGCCACGAGGATTGAAATTATGACCCTTGCTTTTTCCACAGCCCTCGCAACCTGCGTAACCCCATGTGTTCAGTGGCACCGCTTTTCCTATTCCTTTGTGGATCCCTAATCAAAATGCGCTAAGAAAGCTTCCCTTTTTCTTTCAGCATTCTTCCGACTTGGTTCATTGCTCCACAAGGGTTAAAATGACTAATCAACCCTTTTCTGCTTCTGAACAAAGCCATGTTCGGAAAACTTTAGGTTTCTTCAAAGACATGTTTTCTGTTTCTTCAAAACCCTTCTCAGGGGCTAAATGTGAAAGACTCCGGAAAAAAGCGTTTGCTTGGACCGACTTGAGCCAAGTCCCACCGAACCAGGACCACCCGGACTTTGTGAAGCTGGAGCCTTGGGGTGTGCCCTGCGCCTTGCCATTTGGAGCCCTCGGCGAAGTGGGCCCCCGAAACCGGTTCCAGGGTGTCCTTTTTGCTGGTTTTGGTAGGAAAAATAGCCAGGGCCATCTATTTCCTCTAAAAGGACGCCTATGTTCGGGGTGGGTTCTCGAATGACCTGGGATGTTGAATTGGCGATTCTTGTCATTGTTCGAGATGGCAAGTTGTTCGAGGACATGACTTCCCACCCAAATGATGTCCACCAAAGGTGCCAGACATGGTCTTAACTAACTACAACCCGGAAATCTTAACCACGTAGCTTGGGGGACTACGATGTCAAGATGGGACTCTTAAGGCGACTGTGTAGGCGACTGTTTGTTTAGGGGAGTGTGTTTCTTTCGGGGGCTTCTCAGGGCTGACGAGGGGTGACAAGGCACATGGTTCTCCAAAAAAATGGGCGTGGTTGTTGAAGGGATTCGAACCCGCGCTGAAAACCCACGCCCAGTTCACGGGTCGGCCTGAAGACCTGTAGGTTCGCGGTTAGAAGAACCAGAGCGAGTCGGCCTGAATCAGTTTGCGGCCCCTGTTCGTCTTGATTTTGAGTCATGTTTGTTTGCCAATGTGATTTGCTCAACGAACGGGAAGGATGAGTGAACATAGCGAAAATTATGGCTTTCCCTACGCCCAAAGGCTAAGAACCCAAAGCCCAGAAGAAGTCCTCCGAACCCAAGCCCTCTAAATGCATGAATGAATGAATGAATGATTGAATGAATGAGTGAGTGAGTGAGTGAATGAATGAATGAATGAATGAATGAGTGAATGAATGAATGAATGCAATGACATCACATGAAATTAAATGAAATGAAATATCATGACTTGACATGAAATGAAATGAAATGAACATGAACATGAACATGAACATGAACATGCAAATGAAATGAAATGAAATTAAATGAAATGAAATATCATGACTTGACATGACATGACATGACATGAAATGAAATGAAATGAATTGAAATGAATGAAATGAAATGAAATGAAATGAAATGAAGGAAGGAAGGAAGGAATGAGTGAATGGATGGATGGATGGATGGATGAACGAAGGAATGAAGGAATGAATGACATTGATTCATTCGTTCATTCATTCATTCATTCATTCATTCATTCATTCATTTATTCATTAATTCATTCAGAACTTAATTCATCCATTCATAGGTAGATCATGTTTCCCTTAATTCACTCAATAATTCATTCATTCCATTCCATTCCGTTCCATTCCATTCCATTCCATTCCATTCCATTCATTTCCTGTATTTCATTCTAAATGATTCAATGGATGGATGAACGAACGAACGAACAAATGAAAGAGCGAATGACACAATGAATGAAGAAATAAATAATGGAATAGGGTGGAGCGGAGTGGAGTGGAACGCAACGCATAGAAATAGCATGAACGAATGAATAAGCAATAAACAGAAAACATTGAACAAACTAATGCTGAACATTTGAAGCATTAAGGCTAAGCCCCAAAAGCCCAAAAGCCCAAAGGCCCAAACCTAAGCACTAAGAGCCCTAACTTAAACTCTGACAGCTTGAAACCAAACCGTAAAAAAGCAACACCTCAAACGCTTAAACTGTTAACCTGCATGGCAGAAGGCCCCACAGCTGACTTGGCAAGAAAAGCTTTGGAATTATATTTTGGATTAAAGGAGCAAAGCAACAAACGTAACCAAGCAAATCATGGCCAGACAAAAACCATGAGAAGGTGAACGCACCATTCCAACAATGAGCCCCTAGTACGCAGTCCAGTGCATAAGCTGATATCAACTAACTATGGCCGATTAGTGGCCTTACATCCTCGGCCAAAAGAAGAAGCAAGCAGCCACAAACAAGGCAAGTCAGCACGCCACTCGCACCAGTAGCGAAGCAGCAAGCCAGACAACCAGCCATCACAATTACTGCTTTCCAACCAGCAAGTAAAGGCATGTGAAGAGTGCTTTCTTGTATTACTTTGATTTATCCATGTGTTTAGCTCTCTTGCCCCGCTTTGTTAGTGTTGCCTCAACATGTCCCTCTTCCCGATCCATACCTTTCCAAACAGCCCCCCTTCTTACTCTCAATCACATCTGGACAGAACAAATGTTTGATGGGTGTGTAGACTTGCGCACAAAGCCTGTATTGTTGTTGGTTAAACGTTTACATCTTTCGATCTCTTGCCCCTGTTTGGGGCAAGCGGGAACCAAGCAAAGATAAAACTTCTGACATCCAAACATTGGAGAAGCCAGTGCTCAGAACCCGGCAGACAGTTATTTAGTTCAACTCGCATGGTTCGCATCACGCTCAGAGAGGAAAATGCGCTGGCCGAGTTATCTTCCTGGCCGAGTCAAGAGATGACCTTGTAATTCATCCAAGGTCTCGAGTTCAACTTGTTCGGATTCGTGTCCCTTGAAACCCAGACCAAACGGGCGGTTCCACCAAGGTGTCTTTTTTTCCTTTTTTCCCACATTCCTGGGCAGACGCACGTTGCCATTGTATGGACCTTTTTTCCCGTGGGCAGACGCACGTTGCCATTGTATGGACAAGGTCTCTCGGCCGAGGTGATAACCAATGGGCCAAGGACAACCCCTTCAAGTGGGAGGGCTACTCCTTCTACGTCCACGAGTCCGTCATCGAGAAGTGCGTGGCTGTCTCATACAGCATGTCCGCCCAGCCTGTGGCCCGGTCGAACCGGCCCGAGACAAGGCAGAGCTCCAAATGCCCGCTGGTTTTTTGGGCTGGGATGCTTCCATTGCTGAAATGTTTTTTGTGCCTTGTTGGTTTTAGAGGGAATCTATCACTACTGGGAAATATTTTCACATTTTTCCAGAACCCCTGACTTTTCGGATGACGCCTGCGGGTAACCTACAATGCTACCCAAAGCCCTCCCCCTTCAGAAGCAACCAACCCGAAGACGCCACTTAACAACTCCAGCACCAATGACAGCATCTCAGTTGTGCAGCGGCACCCTTTTTCCCCTTTTTTCGGTGGCCCCACTAAAAATTCGGTCCAAGCCCCAACAATGGTTCCTTTTTTTCCAGTCACTGAACAACTGAGGCATGGCTACACTTCGTTTTGGGCCGATGTTCGGAGGTTCCCGAATGCATAGCAGAAGGGTTCCCGTCATAGAAAGGAGCCTGACGCAAGCGTCTGCAAGCGTCTGCAAGCGTTGGCAGGTGCCAAAAGTTGCCGTGGGGGAAGGCCCAAGCTGTATGAAATACGTGACTTGCAATTGTTGTTTGAGTCCGTGAATCGCGTTGCTTTTGCAACGTCACATTTGTTGTTCTGCCGCGGTTTTTTGTTTTGTTTTTTTTCCGCATCGACCAGCACAAAAAAAAGAGGTAGCAACATCCTCGAGTGTTGAGCCTTGACCACGCCGATCCACGCAAAGGGTCGCATGAAAGCCTCGAGTTTGGAACCTCGACCAGCGCGCTTTCTCGGGCAACTCGTTGCGCGTGTTCTCTCGTGCTTTGCACGTGATCTCGTGTTTCTTGCTTTGCGCGCGCTCTCGTGCATCTTGCTGCCCAGGTGCTCTCGTGTCTCCCGCTTCGCGTTTTCTCTCGTTCATGCTGCTGTGCATTTGCTATTGCACAGTGCTGCGCAGTTGCTCTCGTGTTTCTTGTTCTGTGTGTCCTCTTTTTGGGAGCCCTCTTGTTCTGCGAAGAAACCATGAGATTTCGCAACATTGGAAAGCCGGGTTTTCAACAAGTCACTGCATTCACCGACGAGGACTATTCTTTGGTGCATTTTGCCAAGGGATGTTAGGACTTCAACTTTTTGCCAATAGTGGGTTTTCCATTAAACCACGAAAAGCTTTTGCCAACCAGTGGGCTTTCCAGTAAACCACTAAACCACTAAAAGTTAACCTTTTAGCAGGGAAGCGGAAAGCTAGTGGGTTTTCCATTAAACCACGAAAAGCTTTTGCCAACTAGTGATTTTTCCATTAAACCACTAAAAGCAAGCAAGATATTTGTAGCAAAGTGTCTTCAGGTCTTGGCCTTTGTGGGGGGCCTGGAGTTCGATCTCATGCCGGCACCTTTGATGGAGGTGACCACCGAGGTCTGTTGGCCGGACAAGGTGGACCAACCGGACCTCAGCCTCCTCGCACCTCGTTAGCCCACGAGCCCAGTCAGGGCGGGCTGCCGGCTATTTACTGCTATTGGGCAACGGATCTTTAGACTGAACAACTTTTTGGATTCCCAAAAATATGTCCTTTTAACCAGCAAACAGTTTAACTTTTTGCTGGGGGATCTACAGCACCCAAGTATTCGGCGAATCACGAAACTCCTTCGCTCTGAAAAAATGATTGCCACATGTTTGGCGCCAAAGTACCTCAAAAACCGCATTCTACTTATTTAGGCCGCTCGAGTTTCTTTTTACCTGGCCGAAAAGCAAGGTACTTATTTCTTTCTGGAAAGGAAACCGGAAACCTCGGATTGGAGAAACTGCTTCTTTTGAGACAGACCTTTTTAGCGTGGTGCTTTAAACACATGAAAATAGTTCGTGGCTTCGAAAGGAAACCATCAACGAATGGTTTGTTTTGTGTGTTTGTCCAGATCCTTTACGTAGCACCTACAGTCAGAACTGTGCGTTTCTAGATTTGTGGCTTGGGTCCATGTTGAATGGCTTTGTAAGAACCAGTTTGTTAGTACTTTGCTTCAAGATGTGTGGTAGCGTTTGCTTGTTGGTGCCATGATTCTACTTTGAGCCTTGGTTTGCTGAACTTCGATGTATATTGCTTGCTGTGTTGCGTTTCTTCACGGCTATTGGTATCTCAGTTGTTCAGTGGCACCAATTCTTCTTCCCGTTTTTTGGGTGGCTGCCCCACTAAACATGGTCTTCCCAAAAAAGGGTTCCCTGCTGAACAACTGAGGTATGTCTCTCAGCTTTGTCGGCTCGTTTTGGCTCTGTTCTTTTTGTTGGGGGTCTGCGAAAACCACAGTTGCTGACCTACCAGGGTTGGGCAGCTGTCTTTAAGTTTTGTTGGTCTTTCTTTGCTTCCTTCTTTCCTTCTTTCCTTCTTTCCTTCTTTCTTTATTTCTCTCGCTTTCAATATGTGTTTCTTTCTTTCTTTCTTCCTTCCTTTCTTTCTTTCTTTCTTTCTTTCTTTCTTTAGTGTTGTCTCTCTCTTTACCCCTTAATTTGTCATTTGCTTGCGTTCTGTGCTTCGCTTGTTTCGTTTTGGCGGTGTCATTTCATCAGTTGTACTCTTCTCTCCCTCCAACAATTGTGGAAACGCACAAAGGGCCATTCGTCGAACGATAAGCTTCCAAATGCCTCAAGGCAGCTTCCATTGTTTGCTTGTCGTGCGCTGGCTTCTTCTAAAAGGAGACAATGACGGCGCCAAGGAAACTAAGCCCAGGAAACACAATGGCAACATTAGCTGGGGCCCTGGAGCCCCCTGTCAGTTTTCCGGGGTGGGGCTCTGTGGTAAGAGCCCCTGCCACAATGCGCATTCCAGTTTTCCGAAGTGAATCCGTCAAACCTGCAGCTTCCGAATGATCCTCACTTCTGTGACAAGGACCTCTCGCTTTGTGAAGTTTAGAGCCTTGTGTAAATATGTATGTTTATCCATATACATATACTATATATAGATATGCTTCCCCATTGTTTTCCGCATGCAAGCTTGTAATTTGGTGCAAGGGGTAGATACTGCCTTACTACAAATTTGTATCGATGGTGTATATATATATACATATTTAATATATAATATAGACATATACCTCCATGCCTCCCAAACCCATGCCACGGTGTTGATTGACTTTGACGAATTAGTCATCGGGGCCTGTCGGGGAAGGCCATTTCGACTGGTAGCACAGAAGCGCTTCTGGACGGTTTCCGCCAGCCTGGTCCCAAGAGCTGTTCTGAGTATAGTGTATTTGTTTTGGGATGAGGATGCGACGTTCGTCGTTTGCTAGCGTCCCAGGGGGTTGGGTGCAAGAGATGAACTGATTGCTAGGTCCTGTACACATGTGAGCCACTATTAGTCCAACGCTTATGTTTCTTGTTCCGGGGCTCCAGGTTCATCTTTGGCGCAGCGGATTCAGTTGTAGCTGGTGTTGTTGGTGAGCCTGAGATCACCACCATGAGCACGATGGGGATCACCCTGTTCAAGCACAGCATTCGGCTGCACAAGCGCTTTGGTCCCAACACCGACTTCAAAGCTGGCCGCATCAAGGATGCCATCGAGACTGCGAAGAGCGCATTTGGCAAGGGTGCCTGTCACGAACCAGACCTTGTTGTCTTATGGGGATGAGTTAAACTGTTAGACTGTTAGACCTCCGCATTCTGAGCCACTGCTGCTTGGCATGCATGAAAAACACAAGGAGTACATGTTCTCTAGATTGGAACTCCCCCGGAGGGCGCACGAAAACTGGCCGCACTTGGTGGTGTGTAAGAGAGAATGGGTTAAGAGTTGAGTGAGGTGAAGTGGAGGGGAGTGGAGTGGAGGGGTGGGGTGGAGTGAGGTGGAGTGAGGTGGAGTGAGGTGGAGTGAGGTGGAGTGAGGTGGAGTGAGGTGGAGTGTGGGTGAGTTGGAGTCAGTTGGAGTCAGTTGGAGTCAGTTGGAGTGAGTTGGGTTGGGGTCAGCTGGAGTGAGTTGGGTTGGAGTGAGTTGGAGTGAGTTGGAGTGATCGGGAAGCACACACTTTGGTCTCTCGCAGAAAAGCAACATGTCGTGGTGGTGTCTATTGTTGACATGGCGACTCACTAATTAAATGTCCGCACAAGACTCGGAGTCGCTAAAAATCCGCCGATCTTCGTCCATGTTTCCATTCAATAGTTTTCCATTGGCCATTTCGCCAGCCATTTTGGGGTTGACCCACACCCAAATATGCCATGTGAGGCAAACCTTTTTTGGTTAGGTGACGACAACGACGACGGGGAGGCCTTCCAGCCTATGGACCGCGAGGCTTTGGCCCAGCAGAACGCCAGCCGGGCGCGGCCCGCGGCCGGCGCTTCGAGCGCTTCGAGCGCTTCGAGCCTCAGCGTGGCCCAAAAAACCGCCAGGAAACCAGGGAAACCAGACGAGGTTTTCCGGTGCCCTTTTACCGTTTCTTTTTCTGGAGGGAGGGTTCCTCTACTCAAATGCGACAGAAAGAAGGCTACCCTTATTCTAACCTCGCTACTGGAGAACCTAGAAGAGGTTGAAAGATCCAGCGTGTTGTGCCAGTCCAAAGAAATGACGCCTTTCTTGAACCTTGTTTGCTCAGCTGTGTTGTGGCCATATGTACGGTCAGACACGTACAGCTGAGATTTTCATGGGTCATCTTTGTTGACCCTGCACAAGTCGAGCAACCCCCACCTGCATCCTACCACAAAGTGTTCAATCATCTTCAATCCCCTTGCCCCCAGAGAGACGCGCAGTTATTCAATGGCACCCTTGCTCCTCTTTTATTTGGCGGGCTCAGGGCTCCCACAAAACTTGGCCTGGAATCAACCAAGCAAGAAGAAATGTTTCCAACTCTGCACCAAAAGCAGCATGGGGGCACAGCGGCCTCTTTCGAAGTGCAGGTTTCCTCCTGACACGCCAAGCTGGGCAATTTCTGGCACCAAAGCGGACCTCAGGTGAGCCCCAACCAAAACCCGGGTAGATGAAGGTTAAGGGACGATCCCAGCCAGAAATCGCTACGGACTTCCACTTTAATTCTTGAAGCATGGTTCTGGGTCAACCATTTTTCTAGCAGGTTTTGATTTTGCCTCAGATGCTGTTGTTGCTCTAGGGCTAACTTCCCCATTATTTCCAGGGATCCTTCTTTCGAGAAAACCACCAAGCACCCTGGGGAAACGGATCTGGTTTTTGAAAAGAACGATGGCTGAAAAGATTGGGATGGAATCCACCAGTAGAAAAACAAATGCTGTTTTTTGTACTTCTTCTTTCCAGGTGCCCAAACAACCAGGTAGGTCACACAGGAGTCTTGGGATCCTTTGGAGCCAAGGCCACAGACCGAAGGCAGCGAAGGCACCGAAGGCACTGAAGGCGGCGAGCCCAGCTTTCATCCGGAGACAGAGGAGCTCTATTTGGCCTCGGCCCGGTATGACGAGCGCCTTGAAAATAGGGTTGTGCATTTACAGAGTAGGCTTTGGCTCCCTTTTGGCGGGGAACCAAAAGGAGGCTGGTTTTAGGCGAATTGACGCCAAACCAATTGATGCTCCGGCATGTTTCAACCAAAATGGAGTTCCTCATTTCTTGAAAACCGAAATGGCAGTGACTCGAACTAGTTCGGTGCAGTTCCTTGGGCTACTTTGGGATTGTTCTTCCAAGGGAAACCAACCACAGGCCATCGATTTGGAGCTCTCATACTTTGAGGTGTCTATGATTTGTTCTTGGTTGAAACTCTGGCGTGCTTAAATCCCCATGTAGATGATGCGGCGGGTCCCCAATCTCACGTCCTGTCCCGGATCTACCAACTGGTGGAAGAGCAGGGAAGTACCAGGTTTTGTCCATGTGCGTAAGTAAGCCTTCCGCCAGATTCGGCGTCGGTGATTGCTTGCTTGCTTTTGTTCCTGCCTGGCTCAGGTTGGTGTTAAAATACCTCGTTGCCAATTTGAACTGAGTTTCCTTGGTTAACGTTGACCCAGGATTAACAAACCCGTGCCATTTTAGGGGGGTGCTCCCTCCAAAAGTGGTCTGAATCCCCACCAAAAGGGGACAGCCCCCAATCACATCAACCAGGGGTTCTGCTTCATCCCGGGCTTAACATTACAAAAAGGTTAATTGATAAAGTGGGTTCACCCCGGATTGGTTATCCAATGAACAAGTGGTTTCTGAATCCAGGGTTAGCCAGGGTTAACCCCGGATTAATTAAGAATTGGTTTATCAATCCAGGAGCCAATCTCAAATCCTTGATTCGGTTGGTTGGTTGGTCGGTCGGTCGGTCGGTCGGTCGGTCGGTTGGCTGGTTGGTTGGTTGGTTGGGTTGCGCGTTGTGCGTTGGCGTGCTTGTGTGTTGGTTGTTTGGCTTGTTGGCTTGTTTGCTGGTTGGCTTGTTTGCTTGTTGGCTTGCTTGCTTGTTAGCTGTTTTCGGTTCGGTGGTTTGTTTATGTGCCTTGCTGATTGGTTTTTGGTTTATTAATCCTTAAAAATTGGTCTATTAATCCACGGTTGCAAAATGGTTAGCTAATAATTTAATTAAAGACTAGTTCATTAAAAATTGGGTTAACACCGGATCTCAATTCTTTTCCTTCTCCCTTGATCTCAGGACCGGGGTGCATATCACCTCGAACCTCACGGGCCACGAGGCGGCCAAAGCCGCGCGCGCCGCACTGGGGGCCCTGGGGGCCTTGCAGACTGAGGCAGAGGCCAAGGATGAGGCGGGGAAAGCTTCTGGCTGTTCCCGTCCAAAAGTGGTCTGATTCCAACCACTAAACCCAGGGAAACTCACCGGAGCATGCTCGGAACGGCTTCGGACGGGTGCGGACGGGTGCGGACGCCGGGCCCATTGGCACGGCAACGCGAAGGTTTCGCAGGGTTTGAATTGCGTGGCAGGTGCAGCACTTTCGCAAGGTGAGGTACAGATTTCGTGGCAGGCGCAGCACCTTCGCAAGGTCAAGTTTCCCCAAGGATTGCATTGCGTGGCAGGCGCAGCACTTTCGCAAGGTGAGGTACAGATTTCGCGGCAGGCGCAGAACTTTCGCAAGGTCAAGGACAGATTTCGTGGCAGACGCAGCACGTTCGCAAGGCCAAGTACAGATTTCGTGGCAGGCGCAGCACGTTTGCAAAGTCAAGTACAGATTTCGTGGCAGGCGCCGCACTTTCGCAAGGTCAAGGACAGATTTCGTGGCAGACGCCGCACTTTCGCCAGGTGAGGTACACATTTCGTGGCAGTCGCAGCACACTCGCAAAGTCAAGTACAGATTTCGTGGCAGGGGCAGCATCTTCGAAAGGTCAAGTACAGATTTCGTGGCAGGCGCGGCACTTTCGCAAGGTCAAGTACAGATTTCGTGGCAGGGGCAGCACTTTCGCAAGGTCAAGTACAGATTTCGTGGCAGGGGCAGCACTTTCGCAAGGTCAAGTACAGATTTCGTGGCAGGCGCAGCACTTTCGCAAAGTTAGGCACAGATAGAGAGATAGAAAGATTGATAGATAAATAGACAGATTGGTAGGCAGATAGATAAAAAGAGAGAAAGACAGATAGATAGAAGATAGATAGATACAGAGATAGATAGAGAGATAGATAGATTGAAAAGAGAGGTAGATAGATAAAGAGAGGGATGGATAGATAGATGGATAGATCCATAGTTAGATAAAGAGATAAATACAGAGATAAATAAAGAGATAAATAGATAGAGAAGTAGATAGATAGATAGATAGGTAGAGAGATAGATAGATAGATAGAACGGGAGATAGATAGATAGGTAGATAGATAAGAGAGAGAGAGAGAGATATAGATTGATAAATAAAAAGAGAGATAGAAAGATAGATAGATAGATAGGTAGGTAGGTAGATAGATATATAGATAGGTCACGAGATAGGTCAATAGATAAATAGACAGATAGATAGCTGGAGAGAGAGGTAGGCAAATGGATAGATAAATAGAAAGATACTGTAGATAGACAGATAGATAAAGAGAAAAAGAAAGAAAGATAGATAGATAGATAGGTAGATAAAGAGAGAGAGAGAGAGATTGATAGGTAGGTAGATAGACAGATAGATGGACAAAAAGAGAGAAAGATAGTCAGATTGATTGATTGATTGATTGATTGATTGATTGATTGATTGATTGATTGATTGATCAAGAGAGAGAGAGAGATAGATAGAGAGAAAGAGAGATAGATGGATAGATAGATCGATAGATAGAGAGCCAGACAGACGCACAGATAGATAGAGAGATAGGTAGATAGATAGATAGATAGATAGATACATAAAAAGAGAGATGTATAGATAGATAGATAGATAGATCGATAAAAAGAGCGAAAGAAAGAAACAAAGGTAGATAGATAAAAAAAGAGAAAGAAAGATAGGTAGATTGACATGACAGACAGATAGATAGATAGATAGATAGACAGGTAAATAGATAAATATATAGAAGGCAGATAGTTAGATAGATAGATAGCTAGATGGATAAACATGACAGGCAAATAGATGGATAAAAGGGAGATTGATAGATATACAGATCGATAGGTTGACAGAGAGATGGCTAGAGTCATAGAGATATATATTTATAGATGGACAAATAGATAGATCAAAGGGTAGATAGATAGATAGATAGATAGAGAGACGCAGAGAGGGAGCGTAGATAGACAAATAGACAGAGGAAGAGATAGATAGATAGTTAGAGCAGATACGTAGAATGAGAGAAAGGAACAATGAACGGTGACTAAGAGCAAGATCAAGGAAAAAAAGAGGAACAGAACTATAGTTTGTATTTTTGAATCTTCCGCCCACCGGCTTCGCCGGCTCTACTGGTAGACTGGTTGGTTGATTAATATGGGGTCAACATTACGCAGGGTCCTGAAAAGATACAAATTTTGCAACCATTTGAAACATGATGCTTTTTCCACCTTTGAATGAAGCGAAACCACCATTTACAAGTTGCAATGTTCAGGTGTGTAATGTAAGGATCCCTGCTCTATTGATGAACCTGAATGGCGTACGTTTATGAATGTTCTGGAAAACACTTCCATTTCCATTCTTTCCACGGATCCTTCGTTTCAGAAAACCATCAGAACCCCAGGGGCAACAGCTGATTTTTGAGAAAAACAATGGTTTATGTCTTTAATCCTTGTATAGTGTGGATGGACACCATCCATTTCGCACCACCCAAGCAACAATGGGGGACCATTGTTTGTGGTATTACAGGGGAATCATCATTCTCAAGGTTTCTTAGGTAATGCAGGATTTCGTCCATCCACAGTATGGGTGTGGCTCAAAATTCAAGAGCCAGGGTTACGCAGGCTTTAGTTGTTGGCTCCATTTGCCAAGGTGCCATTTTGATATATGTTTTTGAGCCACAGCCATTTATACATATATTTATATGTTACACATACACATTTTTTAAACAACCTCCAGACACATGTGTATATGGTCCCTCGTCCCCCCCTCCCCCCCACCTAACAAAAAAAGACAAGCGCGCAAAGACACAAACGACGCAAAAGCGCCCTCCACTTTCACCCTTTGCCCAGCCCTCCAGAGCAGTTGTTCTGTCGATGCAAGAGTATTCACGCATCCCTGGATTTCGGATTCCAGGTATTCTCAGAGTTGAATCTTGAATCCAGGGCTTCAGCCATCCACCCCTCCCCAAAGGGCCCCAAAACTGGTACGTAGGATGTTTACCTGGCTTTTGCTCAGTTTGTGTTGGGAACAACCCTAAACAGGTCCAGAAAGTAGGAGATGTAAGATGTCCTCCGGTTTTTCATAGGGTAAGATGTCCCTGTGGCTTCCTCTGGAGCCTCTGGTGTTCAGATGTGAGTGCCACGTGAGAGTTGCAACCACGAGGACGGTTTAGGCAACCACGAGCTCTTCGAGCTGGGCAGTCCTTCCGGGGCCTTGGTGGGCTTCAGCGTCAAAGGCGTCTGTGGGCCTGGGGGGGGGGGGGGGAAGGGGGGCGGGGGGCGGATGTGGGGGTTCCTGCTGGCGTTTTTTTGGGGGGGGGTGGTGGGGTTCCTGTAATGTTAGCCCCGGATTCATTGACCTGCTGGTTGATTTTGGTGTGTGTGTGTGTCTGTGTGTGTGTGTGTCTGTGTGTCTGTGTGTCTGTGTGTCTGTGTGTCTGTCTGTCTGTCTGTCTGTGTGTCTGTGTGTCTGTGTGTCTGTGTGTCTGTGTGTCTGTGTGTCTGTGTGTCTGTGTGTGTGTCTGTGTGTCTGTGTGTCTGTCTGTCTGTGTGTCTGTGTGTCTGTCTGTGTGTCTGTGTGTCTGTCTGTCTGTCTGTCTGTCTGTGTCTGTCTGTCTGTCTGTCTGTCTGTCTGTCTGTCTGTCTGTCTGTCTGTCTGTCTGTCTGTCTGTCTGTCTGTCTGTCTGTCTGTCTGTCTGTCTGTCTGTCTGTCTGTCTGTCTGTCTGTCTGTCTGTCTGTCTGTCTGTCTGTCTGTGTCTGTCTTCTGTCTGTCTGTCTGTCTGTCTGTCTGTCTGTCTGTCTGTCTGTCTGTCTGTCTGTCTGTCTGTGTGTCTGTCTGTCTGTCTGTCTGTCTGTCTGTCTGTCTGTCTATGTGTCTGTGTGTCTGTGTGTCTGTGTGTCTGTGTGTCTGTGTGTCTGTGTGTCTGTGTGTCTGTGTGTGTCTGTCTGTGTGTCTGTGTGTCTGTGTGTCTGTGTCTGTCTGTGTGTGTGTGTGTCTGTCTGTGTGTCTGTCTGTGTGTGTGTCTGTCTGTGTGTGTCTGTCTGTGTGTGTCTGTCTGTGTGTGTGTCTGTCTGTGTGTCTGTGTGTGTCTGTGTGTGTGTCTCTGTGTGTCTCTGTGTGTCTCTGTGTGTGTCGCTGTGTGTGTCGCTGTGTGTGTGTGTGTGTGTGTGTCGCTGTGTGTGTGTGTGTCGCCGTGTGTGTGTGTGTCGCTCTGTGCGTGTCGCTGTGTGTGTGTGTGTGTCGCTGTGTGTGTGTGTGTCTCTGTGTGTGTCTCTGTGTGTCTGTCTGTGTGTGTGTGTCTGTGTGTGTGTGTGTCTGTGTGTGTGTCTCTGTGTCTGTGTGTGTCTCTGTGTGTCTGTGTATGTGTCTCTGTGTGTCTCTGTCTCTGTGTGTCTCTGTGTGTCTCTTTGTGTCTCTTTGTGTCTCTGTGTGTCTCTGTGTGTCTCTGTGTGTCTCTGTGTGTCTCTGTGTGTCTCTGCGTGTCTCTGCGTGTCTCTGCGTGTCTCTGCGTGTCTCTGCGTGTCTCTGTGTGTCTGCGTGTGTCTCTGTGTGTCTCTGTGTGTCTCTGTGTGTTTCTGTGTGTCTCTGTGTGTCTCTGTGTGTCTCTGTGTGTCTCTGTGTGTCTCTGTGTGTCTCTGTGTGTCTCTGTGTGTCTCTGTCTGTCTGTCTGTCTGTCCGTCCGTCTGTCTGTCTGTCTGTCTGTGAGTCTGTCTGTGTGTCTGTGTGTGTGTCTCTGTGTGTCTGTGTGTCTGTGTGTCTGTGTGACTGTGTGTCTGTGTGTCTGTGTGTCTGTGTGTCTGTGTGTCTGTGTGTCTGTGTCTGTGTGTCTGTCTGTCTGTGTGTCTGTGTGTCTGTCTGTCTGTCTGTCTGTCTGTCTGTCTGTCCGTCTGTCTGTCTGTCTGTCTGTCTGTCTGTCTGTCTGTCTGTGTGTCTGTGTGTCTGTGTGTCTGTGTGTCTCTGTGTCTGTGTGTGTGTCTCTGTGTGTCTGTGTGTGTGTCTCTGTGTGTCTGTGTGTGTCTCTGTGTCTCTGCATCTCTGTGTCTCTGTGTCTCTGTGTCTCTGTGTCTCTGTGTCTTTGTGTCTTTGTGTCTTTGTGTCTCTGTGTGTCTCTGTGTCTCTGTGTCTCTGTGTCTCTGTGTTTTTGTGTGTGTGTGTGTGTCTGTGTGTCTCTGTGTCTGTGTGTCTGTGTGTCTGTGTGTCTGTGTGTCTGTGTGTCTGTGTGTCGGTGTCTCCGTGTCTCCGTGTTTCCGTGTCTCCGTGTCTCCGTGTCTCCGTGTCTCCGTGTCTCCGTGTCTCCGTGTCTCCGCGTCTCCGTGTCTCCGTGTCTCCGTGTCTCCGTGTCTCTGCGTGTCGGTGTTTGTGTCTCTCTGTCTCTGTGTGTCTCTCTGTGTCTCTCTGTGTCTCTCTATGTCTCTCTGTGTCTCTCTGTGTCTCTCTGTGTCTCTGTGTGTCTCTCTGTGTCTCTCTGTGTGTCGCTCTGTGTGTCGCTCTCTGTGTCTCTCTCTATGTCTCTCTCTATCTCTCTCTCTCTGTGTCTCTCTCTGTGTCTCTCTCTGTGTCGCGCTCTGTGTCTCTCTGTGTGTCTCTTTCTGTGTCTCTCTCTCTCTCTCTCTCTGTGGGTGTCTCTCTCTTTTGCTCTGTGTGTTTCTCTCTCTCTCTCTGTGTCTCTCTCTCTCTGTGTCTCTCTCTCTCTCTCTCTGTGTCTCTCTCTCTCTTGTGTCTCTCTCTCTCTCTCTCTCTTGTCAAACTACATGCTTCACTTTGCACTCTTGTTGCATGTATGTTCACTATCGCAGGCCTTGAGCTTACTACTCCGCATGAGTCAAAAGGTTGGCAGCTGCAGACTACATTGGTTGACTGTTTGTTTGAACACTACAGCACTTGCACTTGTAAGCAAAGTAACAACTGATTTTAACGTGGTAGCGGAGCTGAGATCCTAAACATAGGGGAGCTCCAGTAAGTAAGTACTACAACAACAGCAACAGCAGCCACATGCCAAACTACTACGACATGTCAGGAGAAGCGCATCAGCCTCAGCACGACAAACTACAGGAGCAGAGAACGGGCCAACAGCAGACACAGTAGGAGCCACGACTACGGGAGCGGGAACAGAACAAGACAACGACGTTCAGAGACTACACAGATACAAACTGCCACCACCCTTCTTCACTGGTGACTACTCCCAGTATGAAGAATGGCTGTTCAAGCTACAAGCATACCTCGGCCTCATAGACCGAGACTTCGACCTGGTGCTACAACTAGCACAAGTGGCTACACGACAGATTGAGGACACAGACATCAGAACACACATACTCGACCCTACACAAGCAAGCAAAACAGTGGACCTCTCCAGAGATCTACACTACATCCTCATCAACATCTGTCAGGGAGCAGCAGCTACAGTAGTAAGGCAAAACCGCTACAACGCAAACGGATGTGAAACACTACGACTACTGCACAACAGGTTCAGCCTACCAGTAGGAACAAGGAGCGTTGGTTACCTTACCAAACTACTGGAGCCCACATTCAACGAAGCGCAGTTTGAAGAACAATTTCTACAATGGGAATACGACATCAACCGCTACGAGAAAGACAATGGAACAGCACTACCAGATGGAATCAAAATATAGCAATACTACTCAACAAAACCAAAGGAGCACTGCAGCAACACCTCCAACTGCGAGCTGGACAGATCACGAACTACATCGAGATCAGAGCACTCATCTTGGACTACTACAAGACGATTTCAGCCTTGACTAGATCTACTTCAGCAGTAGGAACAAACTACAATGGAGGAACTGCACCAATGGATGTTGACAACATATGGAGGAAAGGAAGAAACTACAAATGCAAAGGAAAAGGAAAAGGCAGCTACAAAGGAAGCAAGAGCAAAGGCAAGTACAGGAGTAAAGGACACTACAAAGGGTTCGACAAAGGCAGCAAAGGAAACTACAACAAAGGAGGATACAACAAGAGCAAAGGAAAAGGCTACTCAGGATCCAAAGGATATGGATCAAGCAAAGGCTACAAAGGCCAAGGAAACTACAGCAAATCGAAAGGAAAAGGAAACAACAACTACACAACATGCCATCGATGTGGCAAGCCCGGCCACTGGGCACAAGACTGCCGAGTGCCGGTATGGCACATAGGAGAAGGAGAAGAACTACATCCACTAGAACAAGAACAAGCAGACCACGACAACAATGATGAACTACCTCAGGATGTGAACGAGACTTGGGACTGGTACTACGAAGGAGAAGAAGGACAACACGAGGTGAACTACATGGAGGAGAACTGGAATGACTACGACTATGACAACAGCTGGGATTGGAATGACAACAGCTATGAGGACACAGCGAACTACATTGGAGGCATCAACGAGTCACACCTCACCATTGGACACATCAGACAAGCAAAATCACGACTACACAAGCACAAATCCAAATCACTACTTGGCAAGAGAACAACACACACAACATCATGGAACGACCACAGCAAGAGCTTTCAACAATTCCTACAAGAAGACACCACAAAGCTACACTTCGACATAGCAGCAGCAAGACAACAACAAAGGAACAAGAAGATTGAGGACACTATCACCCACTACATCATGTACTCCAACTTCAAGTCATACCACCACCTGTTGATCGACTCAGGAGCATCTACACATGTTTGCCCAAAGGACTACGCACCGGATCTTCCACTACGACCTTGTGGAGAATCAGTTCCACAACTCTACACGGTTACCAACAAGAAGATTCCAGTCTACGGCATCAAGTACGTTCCCTACAAGCAGGACAATTTCAGGATTATGATACCCTACTACGTTTGTGATGTGAAGTATCCAATCCTCAGCGCATCAAGACTACTTGATAGAGGATATGGACTTGACTTCACTCCACGACACTGCACCATCACACATGGACAACAACAAGCACACCTCATAAGACACTCAGGACTTTTCTACCTACGAGCAGAGAAGATCGACATCCCTACAGGATTCGACATCTTCCCAATGACTACAGACAATGGAAAATCCATTGCTGTGATTCAACCTACAGAGAAAGCAGTACAACAACAAGAACATATCGCACCACTCACACACACAGACCAAGGACTACGACAGATCCTTGGTGGAAACACGGACTACTGGAAACTTGATGGTGACTACGCCATCAGAGTACACAAACGACCACGCAAAGCACTGTTCACACCACACAACAGTGGCTGCGCAATACCAGAAGGAGAACTAGATGATTGGCGACGAACCATCATCAACAGACAAGGGCAAGAGCAAGAACAACTACAAGAGAACCCAACACAACTTTCCAAGCAAGAACTACAACGAAGACTAGAAGGTGACAACTGGACTGGAGAAACCAGATTCAGAAGAAAGATAACACCTACACGCAGAGCAACATCAAAGACCACACCAACAAGGCAGAGCTCACAACCACAACGGCTAATGGACACACCACCAACCAGATCAAAGATCCAACTACGAGCACCACAAAAGATATGGAGACCTAAAGCAGCACCTTCTACAAATCTTGACACCACACAACCAAAGGAGACAATACACAGACCACTCACAGCACAGGAGGACAACCAAGACTACTGGGAAAGACAAGGTGAACACTGGATACGACACCACACAACGCTTAGAACAACTCTCTTCACTCCAACAGATGGACCAGGACATCCACCAATCAACACACTTGAACCTCACAGAACTACAATCACTCACAACAACTTTGGAGAAGTTTCACAACGCAAAGATGACTGGACAGTCATGGGCAACGCAGCACTACCATTTCAATGGAAAGGAACAACAAGGTTCACCGTGAAGAAAGACTACGAGTACATCCAGGAGAACCACGATGAAGAACAACAACACGAGCATCATGAAGCACACAGAGCAAGAGGACTACGACAACCACAGCAGCCCACTCCACAACAAATAGCAGAACACAACCTTACACATCTACCATACAGAAACTGGTGTCCAATTTGCGTTCAAGGCAAAGGACGCCAAGACAACTACAAGAAACAACAATCACGACAACCTGTCATTCAAGTAGACTTTGCCTACATCAAGTCACAACAAGACCCAAAGACCACACCAGTACTGACAGCAGTTGATGTTACTACACAACTGTGTATGGCAGTATTGGTTCCAGACAAATCATCAATGATGGACTACATGGTCAACAACCTACAAGCATTCATCTTTGAGCGCGGAAGAACACAAGGCATACTACAAAGCGACAACGAAGACACACTCAACGCACTTCTAAAAGCTACAGCAGCAAAAGTCGGCACAATGAGTGTACGACATTCACCTTCCTACAGCAGCAACAGTCAAGGAAGCGTTGAGACACTACACAGAACACTTCTCGGACAAATCCGCGTCGTCAAAGCTCAGGTTGAAAGCAACTACAGCATGACGATGTCCACAAAGCACTGTCTACTACCTTGGATAGTACGACATGCAGCATGGACGGTAAATCGCTACGTCATCCACTCAGACGGCTACACAAGCTTTGAACGCCGCTGGGGAAGAAACTACGAGCGAGCAATCTGCGAATTTGGCGAGACACTACTCTACCTTCCACCACAACACAAGAAACTTCCGAAAGCAGACCTACGGATGCAGAAATGCATCTGGCTCGGAAAAGTTTCCGAAACCGGAGAAAACTACGTCGCAACGGAATCAGGCGTACAAAAGGTACGAACAGTACGGAGACTACAACCGGACTTCAAATACGACCTCGCACTGTTGAACAAAGTTTCCGGCACACCATGGGCACCACGACGGAACACCTACAACCCATCGTTCGCAACACTGTTGGATACGCAACTACAACCGTTAGAGAAAAGAAGGTCCACGCAAGATTTCGGACAACAAACGAACGCTACGGACGACATCGTTGCGGAACCCGCAACAAAACAACAACGCACTACACCACCTCCACGACTTCCGTCCACATCGACGTCAAGTTCACGACCACTACCGGACAGTCCTATGGCTACTTCACCAACTGGACGACAACATCCACCACTACCAGCACCACCTCGACAAACACTAAGACGTTTAACTCCGGAAGAAGTAATGCAACCAACTAAAGCACAGAAGACCTCAAAGGACACTACAATCAGATCAACGGAGCAAGCAACCAAAGAACCACCACCACTACGACAGAAAATCAACGCAGTGACACTTCCCAACGGAAAATCCATCACCCCCTACACAAACGACGACACCTCAGAAGACCAACCCATAATCTTCGACAATGAAGGTTACGACGAAACACAACTACTGGAAGGAATGAAACACGAGTCAAACCAAATGAAACTACACGACGTCTACGACGAAGTAGATGCGTCTACCGTCGACGACACCGTCATCAGAGAAGCGATACCTACAAGATGGGTACACAGAAAGAAAGGACCAGGAGTACGAAGCCGAATCGTCGCAAAAGGCTACACCGAGAAAATCGAGGACGAAGACTCCGTCTACGCCTCTACACCAATGTTCACGACACTCCGGACACTTCTCGCACTACAAATGTCACGACCAAACTGGATCGCGCGACTAGGTGACGTCTCTACAGCATTTCTGCACGCACCCATCGCAAAAGACCACGACGGTAAACAACGTGACGTCTACCTTTGGCCACCTAAAGAACTTTGTCCACAACAGGACAAAATCTGGCGACTAAAGAAAGCCATGTATGGACTACGCAGTTCACCGAAAGCATGGCAGGACTACCTGGCTGAAGTGTTACAAAAGCTCAGCTTTGTAAGACTAAAGTCAGAACCTAACGTCTTCACCAATGCGACTCGCGACTGCTACATCATGGTCTACGCGGATGACCTCTTGGTACTTGGTGACAAGACTACTGCCGACTCCACCTTCGAGGCCATCCAGAAGCAGGTACTACTCAAGCACATCGGCTACCTCGAACCTGGCAAACCACAACAATTTCTTGGAAGAAACATCGACCACTTCGGTAACTACTGCAATCTTGAACTAAAGGACTCCTACATCGACAACATGATCGAGGAGTCTGGAATGAACAACTGCAACTCAGTGAACACTCCAGGAATTGCACACTACAAACCAACAATAGAAGATGAAGCGCTACTTGACCACGAACAACACAAAAGGTACAGAAGGATTGGCACAACTGGACTACACTCGACCCATTCACTGCATCCCTGGAGATCTTCGGATGCCCCACTACAACTCTACACTGCTCAGCGTTTCACTACCTGAAGCAGCCAACGTCCACTACTACCACACGACTTCACTCCACACTACAACTGGCGACAACACCAACTACGTCATCATCCAACTCCAGATTGAACAACCACTACTCCTCAGGTACCTCACTTCAGGACAATTTCTACACTTCACAAGAAACTACATCTCCTACATGATGTCGGTACAACATAACTACTACCTCCCGACTACAACACTGCCAGAGACCATCTACAAGGTGAACTACAACATGACCACCTTCACTGACAACTACAGCCTCAGGAACAACTACGTTTGGAGCTACCACATGCCACTACTTCTACCTGAACTACTCCACTACCTTTACAACCGAGACCAACTACACGACTTCCAGCACAAAGCAATCACTACAATCCTCTGCAAAAGCATCCAATACTACGGATTCACACTACTCACAATGACCAACCTCACACAACACCACAAAGCACTACTACACCGCTTTCTACGGGACTACGACCAACACATGTCGTGTCCCGAGATTGATGATGAGCGACCACGGGGAGCTCCAAACTACATGACAAGTTTTGTCACCACCGACTACTACGCGACCTTGGACAGTCGACTACAGATGGTCCAAGCCTACCGCACCCAGAAATGGGGACTACATTTTTGAGCTCCTGCTCTACTACAACGAGTGCCTGCCTTCACTACTTCCGTCCAGCGCCCTACATCGAGCTGGAACCTGAACAGCGTGAACTACTGAGCGCAGGTCACTACTTTTGCCAATACAGTAGAATCGATGAACAACAATGGTTTTCATCACTACTGTCAACCCATGTTTTGCACTTCAGTTGAAAAGGTACTACAAAGACCTTTTAACTGAGGGGCCGTGTCAAACTACATGCTTCACTTTGCACTCTTGTTGCATGTATGTTCACTACCGCAGGCCTTGAGCTTACTACTCCGCATGAGTCAAAAGGTTGGCAGCTGCAGACTACATTGGTTGACTGTTTGTTTGAACACTACAGCACTTGCACTTGTAAGCAAAGTAACAACTGATTTTAACGTCTCTGTCTCTGTGTATATCTCTGTATCTCTCCGTGTATATATCTCTCTATGTGTGTGTGTGTGTCTCTCTGTGTGTGTGTCTCTGTGTGTCTCTGTGCATCTGTGTGTCGGTGTGTCGGTGTCTCTGTGTCTCTGTGTCTCTGTATCTCTGTGTTTGTGTGTCTGTGTGTCTGTGTGTTTGTTTGTTTGTTTGTGTTGTTTTGTTCTTGTTCTCTTTTTTTGGGGGGCCCTGCAATGTTGGCCCCGCATTCATAACCCGGTGGTTGATTGAGGGGGACACCCCCTTTTTTGTATCAGACACCCCCGAATAGTAGGATAGTAGGACCGGAGGTCCCTGTATGTGGTGGGTAGATTTGGTGTCCCTGTTTCCTTTCTTTGGCCTTCTTTCTCTTTGTTGTGGGTTACTTTTGTTTTTTTTAGGAAGCCAAAAGGATAAATTTGGTTTCGGACTTCTTTTGGCTTCCCTCTACAAGAATTCATTGAGTTCCTGGAGGGCCAGAGTAATCCAACCCACCGCAGCAACCGAACCGGGAGGCCTGCTGTCGGCGGGGGTTACGCAGCTGCAGGTCCAGATGAAGTTCGGAGCCCAGACCGCAGACCGGTGGGTCAGGGTCGGGCATGAGCCACGTCCTCAAAGCCCAGCAAAGTGGAGCCCCGGTAACCAGTAAGATTCACAGCTATATGTACACGTATCATAACAACGATAAGGATAATGATAATAAGACTGGTAACAAAACAAGTAGTAATGTCAATGATAAATGGTAACTAGCGAAGAATAATAGCAATGATAACCACGGTGGCAACAGCAACAATAATAATAGAGAAATAGTAACAATAATGATAGTAGGAATGACCATATACATACACACACATGCAGTACAAGCAACGATGCCACCATTTGCCACCCGCCAGGTGTTTGCATGCATCTCAAGAATATTGGGACACACTATTTTTTTGGCAAACAAGTAATAGGGGATTCAAGATTCGAGGTTCAAGAGTCTGGGAAAATTTTGTTTGGGAATCTGGAATCTTGAGTCCGGAGTCCCAGTCTTCCCAATGATTTAAACAACAATTTCTAATGCTTCCCCAACACTCTAGGTTTCCAAGTATGGGTTTGAAGAACCCAACAATTCAGACAAGGAGTCATCATCTTGAGGATATTTACTTACCAGTCTAAGTGTTATTTGGGGCCTCTATTGTTGGAATGTTTTCTATTTCAGGGTACTGGGAGTTCTTTGCGGCCGAGAACAACCGGTCGACAAATGCAAGCCTTCTTTGTTTGACACTCAATGATCGAAAGTGCTATTGGCTTGGCTCAGTTCTGCTAGACGAGAGTTTAACGCATTTTTGTTTGTTTGATCAGAATCATAGAAGTTAATAAGGACATAAGTCTAGTGCTAGTAAAGTACAATTTCTAGTTTTCACATGTTTCAGGTAGGCTTTTTGAAAAGAAGGCGTTTAACTAAAATAGGATTTCGTACTACAGTTTAAACGGGGTGCTTTTTATACATTTGATTGTTCAATTTCTTCATTGGAAATCAAATAGAAATTAAAACTGACAAATCTTAGTTCCATTTCTAGTTTCAACGATGATGTAAATAGGATGTCCGTTTTAAGCTTCATTTCCCAGGATGTTCTTTTCATGTTCCATTTAGATTAAATAGATTGTAATAAGGACATCGCAAGACCCGCAAAAGCGCTGCTGCGCTGCTACTTGCCTGCCAGGCACACTCAAAGGATTCAACACCAAAAACGTGGACATTTCAGGGAGGGGGGGGGGGGGGGTAGCATATATATCTATATATACATATATACATATATATATATATCATATATATATACACATATGTCTACGCACATGTGTGTGTTCCTTTGTGGAAAGATCAAGCATGCAATGGCATGGCAGTCAAAATGGGTCTCCCTTATGTTAAGATGAGGCAATGCTTGGGTGGGGATCACAAGGGATTCAACATAACTATTTGGGTTAAATTGTGTCTTCTTCAAAAAGCACCGAGTGTCAAACAAAGAGCGGTGACATATGTTCTCATGTTTGTTGGGGTGGGCTAACTCTTGGGTTTTTCAAAGCCGTGCATCTAAGCCAATCGGTGCGGGCGGGATCTGCACAACCGCAGCTGAGCTGTATGAGGCCTGACTGAATCTCTCCCCATGGGTTTATTGCCAAATCAATTGACACAGCAAGGAGGACTTTGTCTAGGTCTTCCAGTAGTGCCCTTTTTGCCCTTTTACCTTGTTCGGACCTAGCTGCTTCGTTGTGACAAGCTTGAAAGCAAAAAGGACCCCTGGAGTCCCCCACGAAGACCATCGACCTGGTGAATCTCGTGGATCAGCTTCGGGTCATCCTCAGCGCCATCCCCTATGTGTCCCAGGCATCCAAGCAGAAGGCCATAGATGCAACTCGGCTAGGACCTCTGCCAGAAAAACCGAGTCCGAACGGTTTTCACACATGACTTGGGTATGGGTCAAAATTAAACCACCAGGGAGCACAGGTTTTAGTCATTGTTTCCATTTTGGGTACCTATTTGTGACCCACAGCCACTTCCATTCGCGTTTGCAGAAGAAAGCTTGTTGCAAAAAAACCTATCACTACAAGTAGCTTTTTCCCCAGCAGACTTAAGCAAATGGAACACTGTAAGGTTCAAGCCTCAATGGTTGGGGTGGGCAGGGCGGGGATCCTGAGAAATATGATTGAATTGCCTTTTGACAAAAGGGGGGAGGGTTCGCGATTTGTATAATTGGAATAACCGTTTTGTTCTGAAGTACGGATTTCCTCAATATAAACCTAAATTTTAGGGCTTCCACTGGTTCCCTTCAACATTTGCGGAATAATTTGTGTGTGTGTGTGCAGTGTTTTCCTTCTCACATCGTTTCTCTAATGTGGTGGGGCTGGCCTACCAGTTCCGTTTCGATTGATTCCCTAGCTATTGCAGGTACACCAAGCACAAGCTGCCAACGTTTTCTTGTTGGGCAATCATGTACATTGAAATCGCTACGCGATCCGCCGACGCCAGTGGACAGTCCCCACATGTGCTCGAATTCTATTCCATATGTTGACTCTCTTGTACCAGTTATTTGTCTTAAGCCTCGGCGCGCTTTTTGGTTCGATCTTGTGAGTCAAGATATCTCTGCGCACTCTTGACTCAATGCCAATATCTAAGAGAGACTTCAATTCGTTGCACCGATCTTGAAAGTCGCTAGTCGCATCACACAGATGCATGCAGTCGGACAAGTATGCAACCAGCGGATTGAGACAAAAAAGGCTTTGGCTGGGTGGGAGCAACTGTAAAGCTGCGTTTGTCTGTCAGACACAGCGTACCCCATTTTTAGAGGGCTTCCTCATTTCCTTACTTGCCTCGTTTGTAAACTTGGAGCTTCAGGGCAGCCGCCGTGCCATGAGAAAGACCGGGGGGGGGGGGTAGGGAGCGACAGTGCCGGATTTCTGGGTCTTGAAGCGTGCATTTTGAGCCGTAAAACATGCTACAGGATGCCCCAGGAACCACAATAAATGAACGTGCCACAACAAGGCCTTCTTGGCACTTTCCTGTTTTTCATTTCCCGTTTGTTGGTGCCTCAAATTTGGGGCAGGGAAAAAGACGTCTTTTTGCCTAGGTCACATGGGGCTCTTAAGAAAGAGGCCAAACGACGCCCCTCTAACGTCGGCTGCAGGGTGCCTCGAGTTTGGGGTCAGGAAAAAGACGTCTTTTTGCCTAGGTCACATGGGCCTGTTAACGCCTGGAAGGAGAACAAACAACACCCCTCTGACTTCGCTTGCAGGACCTTGAATTCGGGGTACACGGGAGTCTTAACGCGTGGAAGGAGAAGAAACACAATTCTCTGAGGTGTCTTGAATTTGGGGTAAGGAAAAATACTTTTTTTTGCCTAATTAGGTCACATGGCGCTCTTGACATGTGGAAGGAGTGGGTGCCTCGAATTTGGGGTAAGGAAAATATGCTTTTGCACGAGCCATGTTAAGAGCTGTGGATGTTGGGTCGGAGGTTTTGGGTTAGTTTGGAATCCACTTATAAAACACACACACACACACACGTGGCACTGGCGAGCTTTTGGCATATGGCTGGTCTCTTTAAAATGCACTGGCCAATCTTGATCAAAACAGACCCCTTTCGCAACCCGAGGGCTAAGTTACTAAGGATTGCTGAACAGCTTCGACCATTCGGTATTTTCTCAGTTGCCCAGTGGTGCCCTTTTTCCTTTCTTTGTCCCTTTAAAGTCAACCAAAAAAGGGTGCGATTCTTTTTTTTCCCCATGGCCACTGGGCATCGGAGTTTTGTCCATCGCCTCATTGAGGCGCTGTCCGACACTCACTTGGAGGCCCAAATCCCCGTCTCCGACTTCTCGGAGGTTTTGAACAGGGCCAGCGGCTGGAACGACCTTTGGAAGAAAGGCTCAGTTGTTCAGTGGCACCCTTTTTCTACTTTTTCGTGGCCGCCTCACTAAAAATGTTTTCCCAGGGTCACTGAACAACTGAGAAAGGGCTTGGAAGACATGGGTGTGAGCTTTTTCAGGAGGGACCCTAAAAGGGGTCATGTCCACCGAACACGTTGTTCGGGGGTGCCCTGTCAAGATTCATAGCCATTGCTTTGTTCTTTTTGTTTTTTCCTGACGGTAGCCCTTTTGGGGCTTGAAAGAAACCAAAACACAATCACCCATTTTGGAGGTTCCATTTATTGGACATGGAACTCAAACAGCGCGTGCCCCAACGGGAGGTTACTCTTCTTTATTGATGATTTTATGGATTCTATGTTTTTCTTCTGGACTGGGCAAATGATGTGCCGAGCTTGTCCAGATTCATCCAGCATAAAACGAGCGAAAACCCCAAAGGTCTCTTAAGGATTCCACATTTCCAGCCTGGGAGTCATAATGATTTTACCTTGACCAGAAAGAATTGTTTCGCCAGCCACTTGCCACGTTTTTCACGTTTGTTTTGTTTCTCCATCTCTGCTAAGTCGAGACCAGACGTGAAGAGTATCAAGGAACAGCTCTCTTGCCAAAAATCCTTGCGGATTTCGGCCCACTGACCCTTCCCGGGAGCCAATTGGCTTCAATCTTCCGCAAAAGAAGCCAAAACAGGATGGGTATCGTTCTTATTATTCCGGTTTTCTATTTTGGCACCCGGGCCCCTTGAAATCCCCTTTTTGGCGGGTTCAGGACGTATTGGGTTTACCAAGGGTTCCAATTATTTTTCTCTCTTTCAGGTAGGTTGCAACTGGTTGCTCCCAACAAATTGAACCCTCTGAAGCGGGATGGCATGAAATTCCTTTGCACTTCAAGCCATAGCTGGATTTGTGTACCGGAGTTGCAGGTTTTGGCTTCAAGCCCACCTTGGCTTCCAGCATTTACCTTTTGGTTGTTGAACTTGCAGCTGATTACGTCGGCTGATGAAAGGGGCGTGCCCCTTTAAGAGAGGGAAGCAACGACCAGAGAGTCCCTAATTTTGAGAAAGGGTGTCCCGTTGTTAGAGAGGTCCTTCACGTTTGGGGGAGTTGCATTCCGTTGATCCTTCAGGTATCGACTCTTCATCGAATCTGGTGAAGAGGTCATTCTCTTGCAAGCGGTTTGGGCTCAGGTCCCCGCTTTTGAGCCACCACCATTTGGAGCCCAGTTCGGGTCCCATTTTGGTGGCTTTTGTTTTTAAGTTCGGACACCTGAGGTTTCGGCGAATGTTTTGAACTCTAGGCGTCTTGCTTTTGGTGTCCCTTTAGACTTTAAACTGCTCTAAACAAGGGTACTGAGCCTCGAACATCAAGCCAAGGGTTGCATCTATGCTCCTCAACTTTCCGGTTGAACACGATATTTTTTGAACACGATATTTTTTTCACTAATCCACAACACGGTGCGCTCTTTTTTGTGGGATGTGCGCCAAGTTTATGTTCTTGTTTAGCTGAATCCTGGGAGCCAAGGATCATGACGACCCGCACTCCGGCGCTGTGGTGCGAAAGCAGAACGGCATGTGCTCAGTCCAAGCGCTTTTGCAGAAGACACCTAACGCCAAGTGGGGCCTTCTGGCGACGCTGCCGGAGGAGTGCCGCCCGGACCAGGATTTGCTCTTCAGCGTCAACAACAATGAAGCTTGGAGTTTGCTTCGCCTCATTAAGGACTTAGCCTGACTTTGTGAGCTTTTGCCTTTTTGTTCTCCAACAGCTGAAAGCTAAGGGGTCTCGGCCCTGTGGCTTGGGGGAGCTCTGTCTGGCGCAGGCCAGGTGTAATCAAGGTTTCAAGGCAGGTTCTGGAGTCTGGGGTGGTGTGGTGCAGGCCAGGTGTAAGGTTCAAGGAAGGTTTTAAGGCATGGTTTGGTGCGGGCCAGGTGTCAGGTTCAAGCAAGGATCCGGAGGTTGCGGGGTGGCCGGTGTCAGGTTCAAGGAAGGTTCCGGGGTGGTCTGGCGCAGGCGGTTCGGGGTGGTCTGGTGCAGGCTACATGTAAGGTTCAAGGACCGGGGTGGTCTGGTGCAGGTGTAAAGTTCAAGGCAGGTCCGTTCCGGGATGGTCTGGTGCAAGGCCAGGTGTAAGGTTGATTCCAGGTTCCGGATCCGGGGTGGTCTGGTGCAGGCCAGGTGTAAGGTTCAAGGAAGGTTCTGGAGCTTTTGGGGTGGTCTGGTGCAGGCCACGTGTAAGGTTGAAGGCAGGTTGTGGAGGTTCTGGTGGTGTGGTCCAGGTGTAAGGTTCAAGCAAGGTTCCGGGGCGGCCCTGAGGCAGAGCGCAAAAAAGAGGACCGCATGCTGTTGGGGATATCACCTGAGCTTATTTTTCCATAGTTTCCCCTTGCCAGCAAACGTTGCATTTTGGTTTTTATCCTGCCCGCGGCGTTGCGCCGCACATAGCTCACAGGAACATGACCGTTGTTCGGGTGTTCGCTCGCCACGCGCTGCCCCTCGCGGCTTCCATCGGGGGTGTCTCACTCAATGTTTGCGCTATCTGGTAACGAACGAACGAATCCGGGTCTCTGAGCACTGAGCGTGCGATCTCCAGGGAGTTTGGGAGTGGCCAAATAAAAAGCACAGCATTAACTTGTGTGTGTGTGTGTTTGTGTTGGACTGATTGGTGGATATAGGTGGTTCGGATTGGTGATTTGGCGATTTGAACCCCCAGTTCTTGTAAAGTTTGGAAGCCACCACCTTTACCGCTAAACCACTAATCCAAACCACCAATCAGAGGGAATCTGACTGTTTGTTTGCGGTCCTCAGCCTGCCCTTTGTGCAAAATAATGCTGCCTTTCCGTTGCATGTGTTTGCTTCATCAGCCGCAGTGTTTTTTTCTTCGATGGTCTTGGATGGCGCTTCCGTTTGGCAGTCGTTTAATGCTACAAAAAAGCCTGCGCAAAAACGTGATCATTTTTACACCGCACCCTTTCTTGGGTTCCATGATGAATTTGCAGGGGGTTGTTATGTGTGATGCCAGCAAATCGAGCTCAGCTGCGTCAGCTCCCGACCATGAGGACAACCCGGCAAGGGTGGACGTGAGCCCAGATGGACGGATCACGTGGCACTCAGGCAGGGCTTAAGCGTGCGACCAAACGACGGTTGTCTAAAACTTCCTTCTGGTTTCACAATGTAGGGTGCCAGTGTCAATTGAAGCAAAAATGGTCGGTTTGTTTTGTTTGGGTCCGAACATGCGCTCTTTTGCCAGGCGGCTCCGGCTGGAACTTTATCAGTCTGAGCAACATCGTGTTCGCGCCCAGCTCGGGCGGATGGCCCTTGAAGTTGGAAAATGGTTGGGTCGATTTTGGGTGCCTCGGAAAGGAACGGGAGCAGCGCGTCTCTCTCTCTCCCTCCCCTTCTTCTCCCTGTCTCCCCTCTCCCTCTAGGGGGGGAGAGTGAAAAGGGGAGAAGGAGAAGGGGACTTACGCCTGCGCTTGCATGACTACCGTATCCGTATATGTTCATTAGGTAGTTATTATCGCTAACACGTGCCCACCGAGGCGCTGGATGGCGGGCGTTGCTGAGGGGTCTGCCTGAGAGACCCCCGAAGTATCACCGTTCGGCCTACAAGTTGCAAGCGTCTGCTGAGGCTGCTGCTGACGCGGCTTGTTTTCTGTCGGTTTACCCTCCATTGAATGGGCCACGCTGCTTTCGGCAGGCAAGGCGCGGGAAATCCTCGCTCAGGGTGTTGCAAGTGACGCGCCGCAGCATCGGTCTCTAAACAGCTGCCGCAGAATCCACCACACCGCCGCCGCCTGGATGTGAACCATCCTTTTAAGATTCTGTGCTGAGCGCACGTGGCACCACCTCAAACTGGCACAAAGAATAAACACGCGAAAGCAACACAGCAAGCCGCTCAAAACCAACACCAAACACAACCAGCTCGACAAAACAAACCATTACCACATCAAAGCAAGCTCCAAAATCCATCTGGCGGAGGCCAAGGCTAAAGCAAGGGCCTCCAAGGAGAAGTGCCTTGCGAGCTTGGTGCAGAGAAAGAGGAAGGCTGGTTGATTTTTCCAGCGCGGACGAGCTGAGGACGAGTTGGGTGGCGATGGCCCTGACACGCACCCCAAGGGCGTTGCTGAACCTTCTGGAGCTGCACAGGAAAATGCCACCAAGAAGAATCATGCCCACATTCCAGGAGATCTGCCTGATGCCAGACGGAGCAATCGCTTTCGGTAGCCAAGCTAACACGCTGCTCAAGCGCTCCTTTCGCTTTGGGGTTCCGTTTACTTTAACTAATGTCACGCGCAAAGGCTGTCTTTGAATTGTGTAGTTCCCCCCCAACACGCGCCGGGGTGTCCAACCACTCTGGGCAACAGACTAACTGGCAGCATGTCAAGCCAAAAGGCTGGACATCCATCGAAATCAGCCAAGGGGTATTTTGCAGCCCGCCGTGTACAAGCTCAAGGGCAGTCTCTGCGTGGTGTCCGGCAGGGCATCAGCCGACTCAACCATATCGACGTTCTTGACCTTTCGCAGGTCCAGTAAGGAACTTTGTTGCAAGTACATGGCGCATTGCGCCCTATGCGGGCAAGTAAAGCGGGTGACGAAGCAAAAAATGGTCAAGCTTGTGGCATCTATTTTCACCTAACAGATTTTCAGCTCTTTAGGGAGAAGTTGAGAAAAGATCATTTGCCCACTGCGAATGGACCAAAAGCAATTTGACCGCTTAGCCTCTCAACTCGTCGATCTTCGGCTTTCATCTTTGGGCAATTATAAGCATGTGGGTCAAATTTAAGCACTCGTGCCACAGATTCTGGTTGGGGGGGGGCCTAGCTTGGAGCGATAATCATGTTACATTGGTTGATCCACTGGGTGGCAAATAGTCCGTTCATTGCGCTTTACAGGAAACTACGAGAACGAGCGCTCACGTTGTCCCATATAAGCCACACAGTGTTTTGAGTGTGAGGCAATGTGTTCAAGCGGAAAGAAATCTGAAGAACAAAGCAAACTGGACCACAAGTGGCCCAAAAGCATGCACCACCGAGCTTACGACAAGAGTATGCGGGCCGCAAGGACATGACACGGCATGATCATATTGAATCTGTTTTTCTCCCAGGTGCTGCACGCAGGGTCTCTGTGCAACTTGCTCTGTGCAAGTTTCTCTATTCAGGTTCTGGATTCTCTGCACAGGCTCCTCTATGCAAGTTTGTTGTGCAAGTTTCTTTGCGCAAAGCAACTCTTGCTGCAAGTTTCTCTAAGCAAGTTTGCACACGTTTCTCTGCGAAGTTCTCTGCGGAAGTTCTTTTGCGCAAGTGTTCAAGCAGTTGTTCATTGGCGAGGTCTGTCTGCAAGTTTCTTGCCTCTTTGACACACTCGGAGCCTTCTGCACACGACACTTGTACCCGGGGGCGCACTTCGCACGGCTTTTGTATTTGAAGTTGTGGTTAGCAGGCGAGCTTGCTGGAACCCTTCGCAGTTTCGGGAAAGCGGAAAACCAAGAGTAAAACAGTGGGAAATCAAGAAGGAGCCCAAAGAAAGGCAAGAAGAATCCGAAAGAAATCCAGAAGGAAACAAACAAAAGGACGCCAACGGCTACTTGATTGTGCCTGCTGCTCGGCGCATGTGGGCACACAGCGCGCTGACACCTCGACGTCCGGCTGTTTGACAGCTGTTTGTGCTGGCGGGCCAACATCACGGAGACAAAAGCCGTGCTTTTTGAGTAATTAGTGCTTTGAAGACCTTCCAAATCGTGGCGTGGCCGAGAAGTTCTGCATGCTGAGAGTTCATCCATTTATCAGACGGGGTCTCCAGATTGTCACTCAGGTCACATGCTGAAAACCACGAGAGGTATTGAGCTGAGAGCAGACAAATGCGGACCTCTCAGCATAAACAGCTCCAAAAAACACGCAACGTGCTGGGAGGCCCACAAAAACCTAGCCTTGTCAGCTGCCTGCCTGAGCGAACTTGGAAAGGAACCAGGTACCAGTCCACTGGAGAAGTAACAAGATTGAAATTGAATGTGTTTAAAGGGAAAAGGAAAAGTCTACTATCTCTCTGAAAGCAAGACTTCGAGATTGATTGTTGTTTAAAGGAACTTTGAGAAGAAGCGCCTACCAGCCCAGATCTCAACCAGATTTGGTTTTGTTGGAAACAAAAGCATCTACATTGAACGCCCTACGGAGGGAACTTCGGGAAAAGCCTACCAGTCCATGAAGGCAGCCGTTTCTTAAAAAGGGGGTTTGAAAGAAAAAGCCTCCCACCCCTCGACAAGCGACACGTTGAAATTGACTAGGAAGATTGAAAGGATAAGCCTACCAGCGCAGACCTGGGAGCATTTGAAGTTCAAAGCTGTTTAAACGAGGCTTTGACGGACAATTTGTTCAATTCAAAGCAGCATGTAAATTAAATACTCGTTAGAAGGAACTTTGAGAGGAAAATGAAGGCAACCGCTTTGACATTGACTGTTGTTCAAGCAGGAACTTTGAAAGCAGCATTCTACCGCTCGTCTGGAAGCAACAGCTTTTCTTTAGCAAGGAAAAGCCTACCAGCCCAGTTCTGGAAAGCAGAAGACTCTTTTACAGGAATGTTGAAACGGGGGCAGAAGGCACCTAACGCGCAGATCGGGGAGCGGCTAAGAAGGCGGCCAACGAGCCTGCCAGCTCCTCATCTTGCTGCTTGGAGTAGCCCAGCCGAAGCCTTCTGTGAGTCAGCCAACAAGTGTGACCAACCATGATGCACCTGCTACAAAGTTGTTTTAGTGGAATCAAGAGAGCGTGACTTAATCATAATCTCAGTTTTGATTTTGAAGCTAAATGTGGTGTCCTTTTCCAAAAGGGTCTGAATTACATGCAACTAGAAATTGAATAGAGCTTTAACAACGATGGAATTGCACCATAAGTCCTTTTTTTAACATATAAAGGAGTTGGGTTAAAGGTGCTGATGGAACAGAACACAGACAGGAAGGATTGTACGCAATGACCTGCATGGTTTAAATTTGCAGATGGAACAGAACACAGACAGGAAGTATTAATATACGCAATGACCTGCATTTGAATAAAGCCCGTTATGAAGGTCTTCTCAAGGGGTCTTATAAGGCTCCGTATGCCAAATCGGACCTGAATGAACAATTATTTTGAAATTGGACACAATGTTTGAATCAAAAGAAATAACTTTAACGGCACGCCAGGTATTCCTGTCCAAACGTGGCGTTAATTGTATAATATTTCAAGCGTAGTTTAGTCAGGAGTTGAATCTGAATTGCTATCTGCATTTTGGGTATATATACAATTGGATGGCGCAGAAAAGGTGGATTGGGGAGGGCTGAGCGCACGCACGCAGACACATAGCACATACAGATATAGATGTAGACTAGATATACTTTACCCAGGCCGCGGTTCGACCCATTTCTCCTGGTACTCGTCGGTTAAACATTTTTCCGAACCTTGCAACTTAACTTGTAGCCCAGATGTTTGATCACTTCTCCTCATTGTCCATGCTCAGTTCGCTACGGGAGTCACTAATTTTCTCATGGCCATGGCAAGAACCCAGCTTTTCAGTGGCACCCTTTTTCCCTTTGCGTTTGATCTTCAGCTCGCAGGACTGATCACGGATGGCGCTTGGAGCACAATGGCCACTTTGCCCGAGGAATGCCGCCCCAAAAAGGACCTCATCTTTTCCACGAGCAACGGGAACAACGACCTCCGGATCGATGCCGCGTGGCTCCAAGCACTGCACGGTTATGTTTTGTTTCTGTTTGTTTGGGCTCTTTGGTTTGGCCTTTGGACGATGCAAACACTGGTGGATGTGTTTTTGGCTGGGTTGAACTTTCGGAACATGTGTGCTTTCTCCCACAAGATAGTTTTCTTGGCCAACCCAGATCTGGTGACACATGTTTACTGTTTACATTTAAAATGTAAGCTGTTCGGAAGTCCGAAATGTTTTAGCCTTGATCTGGAAACTGATGCAGTTGCGGTTGAACCCTCAGCTTCACGAAGGGCCGTTCATTTGTTGAAAACAACCGACGTTGCTCAAGAGTTGGCCTTTCTAAAGGTATTGCAATGGAGCAAAATGGGGAACCGAAAGGCCGGTGGGTGCTTGCGCCACAAGCATGGAACTGCACAAGCGGGCCCTGGAGAACATGGTCTTGGTACCGTGCAGATCTGATGGCTTTGAGATCCGGGGTCTGAGTACAGAAACGACAACGACCCCGCCCATACGGGTTTGTTGGGCCCGGCAAACAGAAACGGGGCGGCAATAGACCAATGTGAATCTCACATGGTAGGGGACCTCCAGTGACCCAGGTGCATGAAAACAAGTTGCTCATTGACCCTGGGTTCACGATTCAATTTTTCCGTTGGTTCTTCTCAAGTTCAACTGGAGCTTCTGGAAACCTGTGGGCCATTTGGCTTGACCTTGACCATGTGTAAAACAAATCAACTGCTTCCTCACTTTCCAGGTGTAAACTTGTTGCAGGGGAGTCAAAGATCAATCAGTGCGGCTGGACACACGAGTCGAGCCTAGATATTTTTTATTTGTTTTAAAAACAAAACTTGCAAATGTTACTGGGTTGCCCAAAGTCGATCCTTAGTAATTTGCCAGATGGTAGTGGTTTCCCTTGTTGTGGTGTTCCACTACAAATTGAATACAGATAGGATTAAGGATCTGTCCATTCTGAACAACCCAATTTGTCTTCTTAGTACATATCCTATGAACCAACTGCGGGCTTAGTGGGTAGGGCCTGTGGATTTGGTTCGGTATTTTTGAGTGGCCCGTGCAGGTGCGTTCCAGGGGCACGGTTGAGTATGGAGGAAGCGGCCAACGGGACAACAGCTGCCTGGCGGACGAAACCAAAAGCAACGCTTTGTTGAGGACTTCGAGCTGAGCAGTTTTGGCAGACCCAGCCCAGACTAAACCAGTTCAGACCAGGCCAACTTAGACCAGTTCCAGGCAGACAAGACAGCCCAAATCTGGGAAGCAAACCTATGTCCGAAATCGAGGACAGCTCCACACCAAAATAGGTGCACAGGCCGTCAGTTCAGTGGACGAGCTGTTGACTCTGAGTTTACAGGTTCGCGATGGACCGGGATCAAGATTTGGGGTGGGTTGGCAACAGCTGATTGGCAAACTGGGCCTCTGGCGGCGTGACATGAATGGATTAGAGGGATGCACTTCAAGAACAGTGACTATGTCAGGCCACAATTCAATGGGGGCTCAAAGTGAAGCAACCAATCTTGCGTGTTTTTTCCGACCCAGGGATCCAGCAACGAAGAGGCAAACTTGGAGGAAGCGGGGTCAACTAAGCAAACCCATTGTGGGGACAAACAATGTCCCCCTCAAAGCATCTGGTTTCCTTTCCATGCTTTTCTTGATGTGCTGCCCTTCTTCTTTATAAGGGGGGCCCAAGGTCCAGTTTCAGCTTATTTTGTTTCTAGGATTACTAGAAACCGGAAATGGTCGTTGTGTTCCCCAGCAAGGCTATGCGTTCTCGGCAGCTCTGAAGCGTGGAAAGAGGTTTCCGGAGTGCCTGGGCAGGTGCTTCTCGTAGCGTGTCAATGGGGTGGCATCAAAACGACTCAAAGGCTCAAAAGAAGAAGGTACTCTATTCCCCGAAATCGGTGGTTTCAATCATCAAAGTAGTTGCCAAGTCATTGCGTTTCCGTTTGCTGCCATCGGGGACAGAAAAAGGGGATAGAAAAGCGTGTCCCAAGCTACAGATGTCCACCTTGAATCCACTTCGCCAGGTGGACAATGTCCGCCTTGAATCCACTTCGCCAGGTGGACAAGTGGAGGTTTTATTTGGGTCCCCCATGCTTGGCCCCAGCCGGTGACGGCCCTTTTGGTTTTCGTTGGGCAGAACAAACGCCCTGTAAATTTACCCCATTGAGCATTCACATGGGGTTAGTTCTGGGGGTCACTTGGTTCGGTTCCGCGTGCAATTCATTCTTCAAACACTCGCTCAAAGCAACAGGTTTCCAAGTTGGCCATTGCTTGACCAACATTTGTACCTAGACTGGCAAAGCCTCACGGGCATCATCTTCACCACCA